ATATTGGTCTCTGTTTCCAGATTAGCAGGGTGTGTTTAGCCAAGAGATTAGTTAAACCCTCACTTTGCTGCTTTGCTTTCCCACTTACCAGCCAGTGGGAAACCACCCACTAATCATAGCTGTGATGCAAGGACAGTGCTTGGGAAGGGTGCAGATTTGGTAGGTGGCTCAAACCACATTCTCCTGTTTTACCACTCATGGAAAAGGAAAGGACAAACCTACACATTACCTCCACAAGCTGGCTGAGGAATTGTCCAGTGAGTTTGGGGGGTGTAAAATCCAATCCCAGGCCAATAGAAACAGCAACTGAGTACAGTAGTGGCCAAAATTGTGGAAACCTTTTGGGGAAAGTGTATTTTTGAGGTTTGATGGCTAATAACATCACTTTTTTTGGGGAGTAGTACCATAAAATTATATATCAATGGAAAGATAATTTAATCAATAATGTAATGCAACATAGTTTGTTCAATTATCTGTACTGTATTCTATGAAAAGTTATAGCCAAATAACCAGAAAAAGGAAGCACAACTTGCTTAGGTTGATATCAGGTAGCTTTCCTTCATCTTACTGTAGCCAGTGAGCATGAGTGTTTAGAGAGCCAATCAGGTGTCATCTTGTTTTGGCAATGAGCCAATCAGATCACAGTAGGATTCAGTTATTGATGTCATGTATTGAAGCTGAAAGGAGGACATTTGTCAGTGTGTTATGTGATCGCTATCAAGTTGGTTGGGGTTTTTTGTGTTGTTTCATTTAGTGAGCTTATAAAACATAATAAAATTAAAGTAATGGTGCAAAGAGTTGACTGATTGCCCAAAAAGCGATGTAAAATAGTATTATTAAGTGAACAAGGCTACAGTGATAAAGAAATTAGAAGAAAAATGGGTGGAAACTTAACCAAAGGTGGCATTTCTACTGTACACTTTTCCCAAAAGGTTTCCACAATTTTGGCCTCTACTATAGCTTTCATAAAGTAGCAACTTTTGAAAAACAGCTAGGCCTGCAGTCTCTGAAAAACGTAGGTTTAACCTTCTCCAAAAAGCTGTACCCCCTTTTTGGGGTGGGAGGGTAAGAAGAACGATGGTAAAAGAGTGCAGAGGGGATGCGACACACTTACAACAGCCTGAAATACTCCTATGGTGCCTGATTCATCTGCCCACTTCCCCACCAGGGTCCCCTGATGGAGTTATTGACAAAAGGGATTGGAAACATTTTGAAATTGCTTGTAGTTGATGTCAGCTTAAGAGAAAAATACTTCAACTCCTGTTCAGCTAAGAAGAGGGGCCATCTTTGAAGGTGAAGGCAACACCAAGGGGACACAGCAGAATAAAGACACTGCCAGGGGATTTCATGCCATACACCAGAGGTCCCCAACCTTTTGGGCACCAGTTCCATGGACGGAGGTTTTTCTGCGAACCAGAGGGTGCGCGGTTTTGTGTGCTGCCTGCATCTCGTGGATGGGGCTTTGCTTGTTTGTGTGGACCAGTTGCTGGCATGCCACGGCCCGATACTAGTCCACGGACCGGGGGTTGGGGATCCCTGCCATACACATAGCCCTCGACTTACAACCATTCATTTAGTGACCTTTTGAAGTTACAAAGGCACTGAAAAAAGTGATTTATGACCGGTTTTCACCCTTACAACTGTTGCAGCATTCCCATGGTCAGGTGATCAAAATTAAGATGCTTGGTAACTGGCATTTATTTATGGTAGTAGCACTATCCTGGGGTCATGTGATCACTGTTTGTAACCTTTAAAACTGGTTTCTGACAAGCAAAGTCAATGGGGGAAGCCAGATTCACTTAATGACTTATTCCCTTAACAACTGCAGTGGTTCACTTAACAACTGTGGCAAGAAAGATCATAAAATGGGGCAAATCTCACTTAAAACTGTCTTGCCTAGCTACAGAATTTTTGGGCTCAATTGTGGTCGTAAATCAAGGACTACCTCTGGTTAGATTCAAGTTGGGAAAGGCCCTTTACTTATGCTTAGATGAGGAATAAAAACAAAGAGGGAGAATCCTAGTTTATCCATTATTCTTCCATGGTATCTATTAGAAAGACAACCATGCCAATGTGCATACAGGTAGTTCTCGCCTTACAACAGTTCATTTAGTGACTATTCAAAATTACAATAGCATTTTAAAAAGTGACTTATGACCATTTTTCACGCTTACCATCGTTGCAGCATCTCTATGGTCACATGATCAAAATTCAGACTCTTGACAACTGACTCATACTTATGACAGTTACAGTGTCCTGGGGTCATGTGATCCCCTTTTTAAATCTTCTGACAAACAAAATCAATGGGGAAAACAGATTCATTTAACAACCATGTTACTAACTTAACAACTGCAATGATTCATTTGACAACTGTGGCAAGAAAGTTTGTTCAAAGGAGCAAAATTCACTTAACAAATGTCTCAGTTAGCAACATAAATTTTGGGCTTAATTGTGGTTGTTGGTTGAGGATTAGCCGAAAATCTGCAATTGCCATTGCTCTGTCCACTGCGCACAGTCCTTCATCTATGAATGATTACCTACTTCAGGCAGATAGCCCAACAGGATATTCTCTAGCTTTAAATTCCAATAGAGATGAACAAAGCAGAGCTGTTAATTCACTGATGCCAATTCAGTGGTGACCTGAATATAAATTATAGAATAATGATCCAAATCAATTAGGCAATAAATGGGGAACTAAAACAATAATGCCACTAGGCAGCTCTCAACATTCCCAGCTGCGTCTTCCCCCTGTGTGCACAAAGGTAATGCTACAAGCCCAAATCTCTCTCATTCAATTTCTGAACCTCTAATTGTTACACATCAGTCAACTATGAAGCATCAGCTTACCAAATTTATGAACAGGAACCAAGCACAAGGTTGGCATTTCTAAACATTATTATTCTGCATCTTGACAAAGTTTTAGAATTCTACCTAAGGAGCTACTTCTATTCAGAAGCAGCGGAGATCAAGTTTTAAGAGTCTTGGTCTTGGGGTTGAAATATGTCAACACATCAGTTTCAAAGTGGAATTTTCAGGGCTTTTTTAAACATCCCTCTCTCAAAATCCCTCTGCAAGTGTTATTCCCCTTCACATACAGACTGGATCTGCACATTGCACTGAGTCATAAAAAAGTTTGGTTTGAGCTTAAGACTCTTGTGTAAAACACGTCATCCGCTGTTTATTCAGAAAAACATGATTAAACATCTTAAGAGGTCCTGCTTTGGCTATCTTCTCACACTAGGTGTGGCCAGTAGTTCTCCAGGAGAGGTCTTCTGAGTTAATGTTCACTACACTCCAGCTGCAGAATGCTCCCTCCAGTGATGAATACAACATTTGTCCTCTTTGCAGCACCAGGCAAATAGGCTTTTATTCTTTCATGTCTTTGGATTATATTATATGTCATTCTAGTTCAATAAGTAATAAAATGTGTTGCAAACAGTGGAGGAATAAAATATGGACCAATCCCACCAGAACAAAAGCCAAGAAAAAGTACTTAAAGCCAAGAAAAATGTACTGAACAATTAACTTTAAGTTGCAAGCTTAAGAAATGGAAATTAAAAACATACCTAAAAATCCTTGCAATCTTTCTTTCCCCTACCCAGAACCCAACTGAGAAATGAGATAGTTTGGCAAACAAAAGCAATCTGCAATTCAGTGATATAACAACCATCAGAACCTTAGTTGAAATAAGATTTAGAGATGGATTAATTTCAGGGCCAAATACACAGAGAGAAGGAGCAATATTTAAAGTTTGTCTTTAAACAAAACTGCAGAAGACTGACAACAATAGCTGAAAATGCACAAATAGTTTCTGCACAAAGTTTGGTCATCTTGTGGAATGTCACCAAGTCAGTTTCTGAGCTTAGAGAAATCACAGCACAGCTGGCACTTAGCCTAAAGAATAAGAAACCAAATAAACATTGCAAAAGAACCTGGATCAACGACCATCTCCTTCTGATTTTTTTGGGGGGTGGTGGTGAAAGAATGGCACTGAAATTATACTGATGACTTATGACTGATGACAATCCAACTTACCTGCTGTGGTTGCTATAACACTAATTGAACAAGTGATCACTTGAATGAGTAATTGAAGTGTCAGTATATTTTCCATCACATTTTGTGAGTGTCAAGTAGTCACAGGCTCAATTAATTATGCCTACAAATCTATAACAGAGGATTCAGAACCTAAATACAATTTCTACACTTGTAAAAAACCTGCAAGAACAACTTAAAACAGGCTGATTTATCTGCATTTCTTTCAAAATTAATAATAAGAGTACCAATTTTTGATTTACACAAAAAGAAGGTAAGACCTTTACAACAGTAAAAGAGAGACTTTGCAGTATTAGTTATAGAACAAGTACTATTATAAATAAGATATAAACCTAGAAAAGAAACTGTATAGCAATTAATGTTCCCTAAATAATGCACAACTACATTTGAGGGAAACTAAGGGAAAAATCCATCTGTGTTAGATTATATGGCATATAAGTAGTTGATCCATTACTATAATACTGTAAGGTCAGCACCAAAAAGCCACTAAACACCATTATACTAAAACATTATACTAAAACACAAATATTTGGAACTACGGTATTCAATAGACATATTGCAGCTATAACCAACTAACAAAATTGATCACATGCCACTTATATACGGAGTACAATATTGACACATATAGTTTCTTTATTCAGTTCTGGTATTAAATGAAGATGTACTTCCAATTACAAGCTACTAAGCTTTGGTAAGCCACTTTGCATGTTAAAAATTACTTCTATCTTCTATCTTCCACACAGTTTGCTACTTGTCCCCTATCCCATTGCCATGTGAAGTCAATTAATGCTGGCTATCTGACAAGAAAGTAAGCTTTCTGCCATTTTTAATTTGCTGTTTTGTCATTTTACCTGAATTTCAGAATGTTATGCTACTGCTCTACTTTATGCCATTTCTGTGCTGATGTAAATTCAAGAGGAAGTAACACAAGTTAACGCAAACCGTACCTGCAAATTTCTGTGTGTCCAGAGGATAGGACTGGCTGCAAGATGATCTGGGGTCTAGGAAATCGAGTTCTAACAAATCCATATCTGCCATGCTTTCCAAATTTATCCATTTTCTTCATTTATAGCCCAGATAGTGTGTTGCTGCCAAGAAAGGCACCTATCAAATCATCCGTGTCTTCAAAATATCCAGGAACAGAAGAACCTATGCTGAGAAGTTTGGATTGTTCCACAAGAGACAGCTCTGAACACAATGCGCCTCCCACTCATTCCTCAGGAATGCTGCTAATTGGGTAGTAGATCCTCCTCCTTTGCTCTTACCCTGATATACACCCAGTGAGAACAGAGAGATAAAATCTAGCCAACATACCCATGACTTCAAGTATGCAGCCAGGCACTCATTCAAGAATTGTCGTCAACTGTCTTGTGCTTGAAATGCAAAGGATACCTGTCTTGTATGTGAAACTGAAGGTGGAAAGACGGGACTTGTTCTGGTGTCAGGCCAGGCAGTTTGGATCCAGAGTGTCTGTCTGCTCCACACTTATCTCCCATCAGTTGATTAGACACAAAACCAGAAATACCTGCCCGAACCAGACTGTAGTTGGAATAATGATCATAAAATGCCCTGGCAAAAGTTGGCAGACAATTAAATTTTGGTCTTTACATGGAAGGGAAGTAATATAAAAAAATATAAATAATCTTATTATTTAACAGGCCAAGGTATGTTTCTAGGGTTCACTGCCATGACAGAAGATCTTCAAAAACCAGGCTGCAGAGATAAGTTCCTTAATGCACAGAAATAAAGATAAAAATAGATATGGTTGGTATCTACGGCAAAGTTACAGCTGAGCCCTAACACTACAACAAATCATAAAACTTCTGGTTTCTCTCAGAAATAGCACTTCTGAATGTTCCTCCTATGTAGAAAGAAACTCCCTCAAAAGAGAAACCAGTACAGTATATCAGACCAAAAGGCTTGCTGTTGTTCTAAAGATTACTTGCAAAGTTTCTCCATTCAGTCAGCTGGACTGCACTACCTTAGACTAACTGCAGGGAGATAGATATCAATTGAAATCATTGATGGAAGTTAATCCTGACAATGTATAGAGAACTGAATATAATACAAGTTGCAATTTAAATCCTCAACAAATTTGTATAAGAACATTAGAAAAGCTGCCCAAAGCAATATTCTGTTATCCAGCTACGATGGTTAAGCTACTTAGGTATTAGAGGTGGTGTATTCTCAACACAACAGGCAGCTGCCAATTTAGAGCAATATGAGCTAAAGGAAGATCAAAAAGACACGATATATTTTAAGTGATTTTTTTAGTACTACCATGAACAGCATTTAATATGAAACATCTATTTTCCCTAACCCCTGCTGAGAATGCTACAATTTGAAGTGTATACATCTAGAGAACATTAAAGAGGGAGAATGCTGAATTAAAGTACTGTTTTTCAGGACAGGGTGTTATTTATAAGAATTAACTGAATAACAATCAGTTCACACAGTCATCATTTGATCTTTGATAATTATGGATTAGAGCACTGAGTGCCACACTGAAAAGTATAATATTTAATGTCAACTGAAATACAGTCATATCAGTAGAGCCAGTCCTACAGAGAACATCTGGCATTTAGTAGGCTAGGTATTATTATCCTCTCCTAATATGTTTTCTGTCAAGAAGGCATGGACCTTCCCATAGTTCAATGACCTCTCAAAAGGCAGGTAAACTTGTCCCTTTTCATTTCCATAAATGTCTTAAATGTAGTCCAGTCAGTCTCTCCCTCTCTCTCTCCCTCCCTCTCTCTCTCTCTCTCTCTCTCTCTGTAATCATTTTTGCCGTTGTCTATCCGAAGGCCTCTTCTGCATGTTTCCAACCAATGCACTCCTGAGCTTTCTTTTGCCAATTGGGTCCTCAATACTTGTTGATGTCGTCAATCCATCTTGTTTCGGGTCTCTTTCATGGATGCTTTTTATCAAGTGGGATCCATTCTATGACTGCCTTGGTCCACTTGCCATCGGTTCTTCTTGCTATATGACCAGCCCATTTCCATTTCAATTCTTTTACTCTCTTGATGATATTGTATGCTATCGTTTGTTCTCTAATCCATGTGCAGATCTATCTGTCTGATGTCTGTAACAACTGCTCTGTACAATAGATAGCAAATAGTCATTGCACATTGTCATCAGTGAAAAGCAATGCACGATGGGAAATACACAATTTTGACTTGTAATAGCCCATTAACATATGCAACTTATGACTGCTGAAACTGGCAAGCATACATAGAAACCCATCAAGAGTTTAATTATCGTTTGGTTAAAAACGGTTCTAATTACTCTAAATCAATCCAAATCCTCAGGCTGTCTGGAATTCCACCAAATTTAGACTTTACCAGGATACGGGCAAATGGGCGGCAACCTTGTTCTCATAAGTTCATCTAATATTTTTGGAATATTGAAAATGACCTGAAAATCTCTTGTACAAGGACAGGGCACCTTTGGCATATGGCCAGTCTTCAATGTAGGATCTAACATCAAACATGGGATACAGACTAAATTTAACACTAACATACATAGGAATATCACTGCAAATTGAACAAAATGCCACGCACATGGGAATTCCTACTATTAATTTAGGAAAGGGGTTTTTCAAAACACCACCATCCCTTCTTACTTTTGAATGGCTCAATCTCTATTCTGCTCCTTGCCCATCTCTTCTCCTCCCCCATAAACTGAGTGTCAAACTTGTTTTTCTTGTTTTCTCCTCTCACCCATCCCCCCCAAATTAGCATACAACCAAAATGATCAGCTCCTTTCATCCAACCAGAACCTTTCAAGCAGGGATGCATGCTGCTTTGGATCTGAAGCCAAAAGGTGCCTGTTGGCACCTCTTTATGCAATTGTTTCTTAGCTTCACAAAGCAGCTGCATAACCTCAGGAAAATTCACATTTGAGTTAGAGCTGCTGAGAAGGCATTATGTTGCACCCTATTGGCATCTCTTTAACTCAAATGCATACCTGAAAGTAAACAGAGTGCATTCAGATAACAAAGTAACAGAGTAGGAAGGGACCTTGGAGATCTTCTAGTCCAACCCCCTGCTCAAGCAAGAGACTATACCAGTGATGGCGAACCTTTTAGAGACCGAGTGCCCAAAAGCTGGTCCCACCACTGCTCCACCCCCTACCCCGCCCCGACTCTGCTCCCCATCCCCCGCCCCACCTGCCCACAGGACCACTCACCACCTCCAGGGCCCGCCGCAGATCACCCAGGCAGCCCAGCAGCGCTATGGCGGCCACATCCTCTGCAGCATCAACTGCATGATGGGGTGTGAGAGCAGAGTCTTGTCTTCGCTGCCTGGCTGCCATGTCCTTGGCTGCACTGCTCTGTGTGGGCCACGCTCGAGGGCAACTCTCCTTCAGGGAGGCTGCTGGAGAGGAGGGGGTCGCGGGGGAGGTAAGGTTGGGGCAACGGCACGTATGCCCACAGAGAGGGCTCCGAGTGCCGCCTCTGGCACCCATGCCACAGGTTCGCCATCATTGGACTATATTGTTCCAGACAAGCGGCTGTCCAGTCTCTTCTTAAAAGCCTCCAGAGATCAATCAGCAAAAGTAAATCACATTTTAAAATACACTCTGAAGCATTGGTTTAGTGGTGGCACAATGGTCAGAATGCAGTACTGCAGATTACTTCTGCCAACTCCCAGCTGCCAGCAGTTTGGGTCTCATCGGTTGGGTCTCAAGGTTGACTCAGACTTCCATCCTTCCAAGGTCGGTAAAATGAGAATCCAGATTGTTGGGGGCAATATGCCGACTCTGTAAACCGCTGAGAAAGGTCTGTAAAGCACTGTGAAGCAGTATATAAGTCTAAGTGCTATTGCTATCTACAACGTCTCCTCAAGAAAGTCACACATTATATGCTCTTCAATAGAAGAGTAAATTATGAGATAGCTAATACTACTATCAGATGGACTCAGAAATAGTTGAATGACTGCAGAAAAGGCAGCACATTAATGGCTCCAACTTAAAGATATTTGTACAAACCATCTGGAACCCTAGCCCTTCAGTATGAGTAACAGAACAAGGAAGTATAATCCATTTTGTGATCCATGTCTGGAATCATACAGGAAAGAAAACAGTCTTGAGAGAATGCAAGTTTAACTAATGCAATTCTTCCTAACCAAGACAAATTCAGATAATTTTTTTCTACCTAGAAATAACAGCTACCTTCCCAGTTTGGTAAATAATTCTTAATCCAATGTNCCCCTGCTCTGCCCCACCATCCCCCGTCCCACCTGCCCACAGGACCACTCACCACCTCCAGGGCCCGCCACAGATCGCCCAGGCAGCCCAGCAGCGCTATGGCGGCCACATCCTCTGCAGCATCAACTGCATGATGGGATGTGAGAGCAGAGTCTTGTCTTCGCTGCCTGGCTGCCATGTCCTTGGCTGCACTGCTCTGTGTGGGCCACGCTCGAGGGCAACTCTCCTTCAGGGAGGCTGCTGGAGAGGAGGGGGTTACGGGGGAGGTAAGGTTGGGGCAACGGCACGTATGCCCACAGAGAGGGCTCCGAGTGCCGCCTCTGGCACCCATGCCACAGGTTCGCCATCATTGGACTATATTGTTCCAGACAAGCGGCTGTCCAGTCTCTTCTTAAAAGCCTCCAGAGATCAATCAGCAAAAGTAAATCACATTTTAAACTACACTCTGAAGCATTGGTTTAGTGGTGGCACAATGGTCAGAATGCAGTACTGCAGATTACTTCTGCCGACTCCCAGCTGCCAGCAGTTTGGGTCTCATCGGTTGGGTCTCAAGGTTGACTCAGACTTCCATCCTTCCAAGGTCGGTAAAATGAGAATCCAGATTGTTGGGGGCAATATGCCGACTCTGTAAACCGCTGAGAAAGGTCTGTAAAGCACTGTGAAGCAGTATATAAGTCTAAGTGCTATTGCTATTGCTATCTACAACGTCTCCTCAAGAAAGTCACACATTATATGCTCTTCAATAGAAGAGTAAATTATGAGATAGCTAATACTACTATCAGATGGACTCAGAAATAGTTGAATGACTGCAGAAAAGGCAGCACATTAATGGCTCCAACTTAAAGATATTTGTACAAACCATCTGGAACCCTAGCCCTCAGTATGAGTAACAGAACAAG